TTGTTAATATTTAACAATATTTTCTTTCTTTTTAATCGCCACTGAGTTTGAGCAACTACATCTCGAGCGAGGCTTCCGCAGTATCATTCTTGATTCTTTCCTAAATCTAACGACGGTGTTAGCAACCACTGTCACCAAGTACTGTCACTTCGACAGTAATTACTGTAACGACCAAATATGAAGACTAGAGATAAGGAGGCGAATCGGCCTTGGTAAAATTACGACGTCTATTTTCTATGCAAGTCAATGGGAATTAAAGTGATTTGCTTCGTTCCGGGTTGCAAAACGGAATATAAATCCGATATAAAATTAAAGAAATCACAAGGAGATAAAAATCCAAGGCTTTTTAAAGCTCCTAGTGTAAGTAAAATAATGTATTTATTTCTAAATAATATATATTTATTGTAAAATAGTCACAACCCGTATCTTACGGAGTGTAGTTTATTTAATTACAAAATTTTATAATAAAAAATAATAAAGTCATAAATTCTGACTTACAAACAACAATAATTAAACAAGAAATTTAACTTACTAGAAAAGAAAATTTGCTTTTTTTATGTAAGATGAAGAGTTACTACTGTTATTTTTCTTTTTTGAACTCCAATTTAGTCATTGCAAATATTTTTTATAGGATCCTAAACGTTTAGAACAATGGCAGCATGTGATTCCTAGGGCTGATAAAGTACTATCTAGTTATGATTCTGTTTGCGAGCTACACTTTTTAGAAGATGATATTTTAAAATTTGATGAGACTATTTTAACTAATGGTACTGTTAACAAAATAAAAAGGGAAAGTCCGAGATTAAAGAACGAAGCAATATAATGTATATTCCCGAATCTCCCTTCATATTTGTCCAGTATTAGGAAAATACGAAAACCACCATTGAACCGAACTGAATTTGTTAGAATAAAAAAAAAGAAAGAAAATACTAGAACCTATTGGTGAAGAAACTATTCACCAGGATGATGAAATTGTAGTTGTCGAATACAAAATTACCACAAAACTATACTTACCAAATTTCACCATTTAACAAACCTTTTCAAATTTGCTCATACATAATTTTCAATTTATTTAGATAAAATTAAATAATGAATAGTAAATAATATTTAACATAGAGACTCATTTATAATTGATACCAACAGTATTTTCTGTACTTTAGTTAGCAATTAAAACAAAGACTTATTTACAATAATTAAAATCGACAGTATTTTCTGTGCTTTAGTTAGCAATAAACAATTTGATTTTTATTATTTTCATAAAATTTTGTAAAATCCCTAACTAAATATTTTTATTTAAACCGTATCTTAGTGTGCCCTCAGCCCTATTTAGCTTTAATTGAAAAATAATTAGCCCTACTCATCAAATTTCAATAATTTGCATTTTACTTAAATAGGAATAAATAGTAAATAATGTATCAATTAAAATATGTAAGACTTATTTAGAAATAAATACAACAGTATGTTCTGTGCTTTATTTAGGTACAAACAAGTTTATTTTTATTATTTTGACAAAATTATGTATAATTCCTATAAGAAACCATGTATTTTGAACTACGTAAACCGTACCAGCGCCCATGCGGGTAATTATAAAAGTTGATAAAAGCTTAATTGACGTGTGATTTTTGGGACCGTATTTTGAGCATACCGATTCGCCTCCTTACCTCTAGTCTTCATACGACCAAAGTATATTAACCATTGAGTAGCGACAGCTGTGGAACCAAATTCTAGTGCGCCGACGCGAAATAGAGAGGCGAAACGTCTTCTAAAGATGTATTGTGTTTATGTTAAGATCTTTTGGGATTTTGTGAGTTTTTTTATTATGCCAGGAAATGCATGTGCTTATAGACCTTGCTCGACAAGATCTGGTGATAACAAATCACTGTTTTCATTACCAGAAGAATATGAAAGGTAAGTACCTTGAATTACACACTATATTTGATATTCATCAAATAATAATCTTATTTTTATTGGAACTTATTTCTGAAAATTTGATGTGATAAGGCCTCTTTCGTATATTTCCTGTAAAATCTACAGAATATACAGCATATGTACCAGGTATAACAATTATTATAAATGGGTTTTTTCGAGAATTTCTTGTTTAGAAAAGGGTTCGTTTTATACCTGTCTAACTATATGGACCTATTGTTAGGTACAATATTTAAATATTTTAAAAGCATTTTCCTAAATAATTTAACCTTAATTTAACTCTATAAAGCATAAATTGGCCCTGCTTACATTCCTTCTGCATATTTCATGTTGATACTAATATACCTAACTCTTCAAAACTTATATATCTGGAATTTCAAGTCTCTAGCTCATCCGGACGTAGGTAAAAAAATTGAAATTTATCAATAGTGATATAAATATTTTTATATTTACTACATAAGTTAAATACTCATAAATATAAAACTGCCTAATGACCAAACCTTTATTATAAATGTAAACTACAAAAGAGTTTTACTTCTAATTACGTCGAGCAGTGTAAACATCACATTCAAGACCAGTTTATAATTCGAGCAGTATTTTAGTGTGTCCTTCCGTCAATAACGTCAAAAGGGAGAGAAAGAAAATTTGCACCACCCAAGATCAAAGGCACCGACGCTTTATATCGCTACTCAATGGTTAATATACTTTGATACGACCAAAATGACTCTAGTCAACAACGGGGAGAATACACTGTTAAGAGCAAAGGCAGCGACTGTTACCAATCACAGTCTGGGGAAAAGATGATTAGAGCTTATCCACTTCCACCGTTACAAAAAAGGGAATAAAACAAAATAGATTAGTGCGAGCGGGTTAAAGAAATGGTTTAGCAAACTGGTTAAAGCCATCTTTGGTTCTTAATTGAGGGTAGGGATAGGTAGAGGAAGGAGGACTTGATTATTACTTTACAGTCCGTGATTTATATCCAACAGAGAGTTAGTTATATATGTATTGTTATTGGGTTAGAAAGGTTCACCTAAATAATTATTCAATACTCGGATCTGGGATTTGATTAGGTAGGTGGATTAGGAGTTGTTCCTCTTTATGGAACTTGGACTGAACTCAACAACTCGTAACACACATAAGATAATAAAAGACGTAAATGATTAACAACTCAATATATTTAAAAGTGTAACCAATTAAATTAAAACTATTAAATAATACCCTGAAGTTCCCGCCTCATGCGGTAATCAGCCGGCGATAAAATATCGAAAGCTTCAATAATAAAAAATGGCACAACGTGTCAGGAATATCGTTAGATGTACCAAAGTTCAATAAACTAAAATCGTATATTACTTTCAATAAAATATACGAAGGGAGATAACTAAATAATTTGGCTTATAAAATGTGTGAGATCCCCTCGTCAAACAATTATTAGCAATTTTTTTTTTAACTAAGTTAGTGGCACTGGATATAAACCAACATGCCAGTCAATTGTCAGGCGAACAAATAAAAATATCATATAACAAACTTTATTATTTTACAAATTATATTAAAGTTGCTCTACCTTAATAACTAAAATAACCTGAACTAAATATGGTTTAAATGTTTTGTTTAAGGAAAATGTCACAATTTTACTATAGTGAAAGAGGAAGGCTATGAAGACTAGGAAGGCTTACCTTGCTCAAAATGTGGTTTCGATTTCACTATACTTTACTTATTGATTATTTAATCACTACTTGCAGAACATACCTATCAAAATATCCAGTCCATTCAGTCACTGTCAAATTGTGATAGCTATCCAACTCCAGGACCGTACCAAGACATTTCAGGGTTTCACGATCTATGGCAGAAAATAAGCTGAGTTCTAGGACTTCAGATATGACTCATACCTAAATTCAAGGCTACAAAGAGACTGCTACATCCAAATCCAAAATTAAATGGGGTGAACCAGTAACATCAAGCTCTCAGAGGGTATGAGGCATACCGCCAAGGGAGCTTGACATGATGTTGGGTCCATTTATGAGTCTGCCAAATCCAACCACAGCGTGAAAAAAACGGAACAAACCAGCCAGTAGTAGCCAAAAGTTGTGTCAATAAGGACCTACCAGTAGCAACCAAATACAGCAGCCATGTACAATAGCAGTTTCGCAGTAGCAAACCAGAGAAGCAGTGCTCAGACCAGTAATTTAACCAGAGGATCCAAAGCCGCAGTCTATTAAAAAATAGACTATCGATGCCAAAATGGTTGTATGGTACAGCAACCCAAGTACCAAACCAGATCGGGAAGGAGACAATCCAGGGAGGTCAAGGACCAGGGGATGATGCGAGAGCAAAAGGTAGTTAAGGCCAACCAAAAAAGAAGACGCAACTTGTGCAGTTAAGCTAGCGTACGATTACCATATATATTGTTTGTAGGCAATTTTGATAATTTTTGCGAATTATTTGCATTAAAGGGTTTAAAAAGAATTGAACAAGTAGTTACATTTTTTCTGTCGGAGAAATAATGCAATAATTGGCATTATTATTAGTAAAATATAAAGAATTAGACAAAAATCGTTACTCTCATCAGTACAATTTAAATAGAGAAAATACCAAGTATGACATATCATCGAAAATGTAATTTTATGGGGAATTCAGCAATATGACTTATGCTTTAATTTAGGTAACGAGTGAATATTTGCGGGTCGAGCAGAGCGAGGTCGCACAACATGAACGAGTATATCATTTTGACGATTGCTGCGATTACATAAAATGTAATTTAATATGTCAAAATTAGACAAACTGATTTTAAAGTACGTCGTAGGTATCTTGTGCCCTACCTCTCGACCTGCATAATGGAAAGTATCGACACAAAGTTTGAGTTTTGCTAATTCATATTGTAACGAACATTTGATTCCAATTAATTTCTACTTCGTGAGTTACTCCTTGAAATTATATGTATAGTTGTTTGCGTGAAAAGCAACATAATAGAAGATTCGATACAAATTTTTCCTATAGGTATAAATTTTTTGTATAGGTATTCGTAGGTAGTTTATTCTTTTGAATTATACCATTGTCATAAAAAATATACTTACTCGTAGGTGGTCTTTCCTTTGGATAACATATCCTAAATAGTCCTTTGGTCCTTGTGTAATAATAGTACTTCGAATTGACACTTTCTAGCAGCGCTTGACTTTGAACATCTGAATGTTTGCTTAGGTAATTCTGAAAAAAAAAATTGTATTATTAGGAATCTTTCTAAATGACTAAATTTTCAGTATGAAACATGTGAAATATTTTTGGAATCGGTTTAGCAAAGAAAGACTAAATATTAAAAAATATAGGAAGTTTCTTTTTAATGCTAACATTTATCTAGAAACAATTAAAAAGTATAAAATACACACGGCCAATACAATGTAAACAAACAAGTCACCTACTAAAAAGCCAAATGTGGCAAATTAACTAATTACTGAATTAATTTTAGTTAATAAAATTGATTTTTTCTTTGAAATTATAAAAATATTTTTTGTGGAGCACCTTCCATGTATGGACCTTTTACGGTAATCAGCCATTTTACATTATTTTTTAGAAAAATAAAACTAGTGGAAGACCTGGTTTTACATTTTTTTTTGACTAAAAATATAAAATAAACTTTAAAACAGGGTAGGCACTCATGCACATACTACTAGAAAGCCAAATAAATACTCATCTTTCTAATGAGTTTAAAGTAGTACTCCATAATTAAATTTATTTTGTATAAAAGAAAAGTACAACAAGGTTAATATGTGTTCTTCTAGAGCTACTTTTAATAATTTTAGATTCTTTTCGTCCTTATACACTGCTCCTAACCATCTACAATACCAATCTTAGTAGTACCGAAATTATTAATGTAAAAAATAAAGTGTACAGGGTACAAAAATGTAAAATTTATTTCCCACTCGTAAAACATGTAAAATATGTATTGTTCCATTCATAAAAATTGATTTCTTTTTTAAATCTAAGAAGCGCCATTTTTTATACGAAAAATCTTGTAATTTTCATAGTATAGTGATATAAGTCCTCTAACATTTTTAGTTACAGTTTGTACGTGTCTTCTTATTTTAGTTGCACTTTGTTTTTGCTTAGCAGTGTAAACTTTATTAAGGTAGAAGTCACTTTGAAAAAATTAAGATTACGTTTTACGTTTTGTTTACAAATACCAGAACAATTTTCTTTCGTACTTTATTCTCAGCAAATTTTAGCAGATTCTTTGTTAAAAAATATAACAAGAGGCACAGAAAATATTTATTGGATAACTCATATAAATTTTTTTAATCAATATCATTTTCTTCACAACTAGACTCTGATTCAGACTCATCACTACTTGCAGTTGTACCTAAATTAATAATAATTGGTTCTGCATCAGAAACAAGTAATAAGGGATTAAAATGGCGGAGTTTTATATCTTCTTTTAAAAGGCACCACATACTTTGATTTTCTTTTACTATACGGAGAATGATCGCACTGCGCTGCTTTCTGAGTGCCTTTTAAAAGGAGATAGAAAACTCCGCCATTTTGATCCCTTATTACGTGTTGTCTACATCTTGGCGCAACCGAAGCCAAACCTTCTCTATGGTGGAGCATTGTCAAAAGTGAATCGTAGATTTGTTACTTGTTCGAAGTGCAACAGTGCACACTTTTGTAGCAGATGAACGAAGCTGTCACTGCTGTCGCTGTCAATATTTTTTTGCCTGTCGTCTTATCTGGTCGTCTTTATTTGTCGTTTTTGATTTTTGGTTGGTTTTAGCCACATACTTTGATTTTCTTTTACTATATGGAGAATGGTCGCACTGCGCAGCTTTCTGAGTGCCTTTTAAAAGAAGATAGAAAACTCCACCATTTTGAACCCTTATTACGTGTTGCCTACATCTTGGCGCAATATTTTTAATAGGTGCGTTTTAATCATTCGCTTCTGCTTCAGAATTGTCGGTTTTCTTGTTTTAATCTGACAGGTTAAAACGACTAAACCGACAATTCCGGAAGCAGAAGCGGATGATTAAAACGCACCTGATATTTTGATTGCTGCTGTCAGTGTCAGTGAATATTATTTTTGGAGTCACAGTTTATTGCTAAAGAATCAGTTAGCTCACTCGGACCAGTTGAAAGTTCCAAAATAACATCCACTTCAGGGATACAAATTCAGGATACGCAGAAGACTGCTGTTTTATTGTAGGCGGTTGTCATATATTGTATTATCCGAGTTGCACAGTGTATAAACTGAAACATTGAGATCAAAAGTGCCGACGCAGAGTGAGCGATCTGATTCTTTAGCTGTAAACTGTGTCACAGGGTTCAAAATGGCCGCGCCCTAAGTTGGGCGTGTCGGACCTCTCTCTTGCCTCGTATAGTAATCAAAGTATGTGGGATAGTATTTTATACACACGACGACTTTGATTTAATTTAATTAAATATCACAAAATTATTAAGTCAATCATACGTCAATAATCAAACGTTTTTCGAAGTTTTAATTATCTGTAAATAATTTATCAAAATTCTAGTGTTATATAAAAACAGAAAATCCCGCAAATATGTCTTGTGCAGTCATTAAAAATACGGACATGTTCGAATGTATGCAACAAGAGGCCATAGAAGTAGCTTCATGTGCGGTCGCAATGTACAAAATTGAAAAGGACATTGCAGCTTATGTGAAGAAGGAATTCGATAAAAAATACAATCCTAATTGGCACTGTGCCGTTGGAAAAGAATTTGGATCATATTTGTCCCACGAGACATCGTACTACATTCATTTCTTTATTGGCGACCTAGGATTTGTTCTATTCAAATGCGGTTAATACGATATCAAGATATATATATATATCGGAAACATTTCTTGTTTCGAGAAAATTTGAATTAATGAAGTATTGGTCACCATCACTATTGACTTAAAAATGTGACGGAATTGTCTCTGGGGCACTTTGAGGAGCAATTTCTTGTTGAAATATTTACGTAATTTTTCAGATTAAGTGAATGATGTATATTTTCAAATAAAGGCTTGTTGTGGGAAAAGGTATTGTATGTAAATGATATTTTATTAAGTGTAAGGGGTTAAAGAAAAGGTCCTTTAGTCAATTTAATTGGCGACCGGTTTCGAAGCTGTCACTTCATCATCAGGCACACCTAAATGGAATGTCAAGGAGTCAGTTGTAATAAAAAACAATTATAAAGGCATGAACGGACTTTAACAAATACAAAATAACAGAAAAAACAAAAGAAAGTTAAACAATAACCTTGACTCACCTTGACTATTTCCATAAAGGAAGCGCTACATAAAGTTTAACAAAACGAGTTAAAAAAGTCATATGTAATACAATAGTATTTTTTAAAAAATATTTTAGGTTAGGTTAAACCGCGAGATGTCTGTTTGAATAAATTAATTAAAACACATGTAAGACAATTATTAACTAAACAACACAAAATAGTTTTTACAAGCACAAACAGTTTAAAAATTTTTAAGGATATAACGTCAATTAATGAAAGTAAAAAGTAAAAAAGTAAAAAGTAAAAATTATCAGACTCTCAAGACATCTATCTAGATTTTTAACGAATCAATGTAGTAAACTGTAAATTTTAAATTTAGCGGATAAATAGTGTACTAACAAAGGTGTTATTTACTGAAAGTGAGTATAGGTGGCGGTGACAAAATTTATTGAAAGTAAAAATATTAAACTGGGAAATGAGAAAGCAAAAAATACTAACAAGAAAATTAGAACACTGAACAAGAAAATATGAAAATTCATGAATTTTAATTTTTCATGAAAATTCTAGAATCTTAACTTGTTTCCAACTTCTCTATACAGGGTTTAGTGGGTTTATTATTTACCAATGGAAAAGACTTGCCTTTCCAAGTTTCGAAGAAAAGTGTTTGAATGCCACAGCTAGTTGCTTTTTGAAATACATAACTAGAATGAAGACATATAATGCTTGCATTCTATATTATAGTTGGAAAACAGTTTCTATATAATTCTTTACCTTATGATTTCTATGAAAATGTTATAGGACTTCAACCAACGACGGTAGTTTTTCGTCGTAGACTTCAACTAATGAATATTAAGCATTATGCATGTTAAAGGTCTGTTTCAACAACGATCACAAACCAGTCACTGACACCAGGATTCTGCGCAGTAGATGATTTGGCGGTCCCATTAATCTACTGCGCAGAATCCTGGTGTCACTGACTAGTTTCTGATCGTTGTTGGAAGTAGAATAGCTAAATCAACATCCATCTAGATAAAGCACACAAATCACATACTTTGATGATTTTCTTTTACTATACGGAGAATGGTCGCACTGCGCAGCTTTCTGAGTGCCTTTTAAAAGAAGATAGAAAACTCCGCCATTTTGAACCCTTATTACGTGTTGCCTACATCTTGGCGCAATATTTTTAATAGGTGCGTTTTAATCATCCGCTTCTGCTTCGGAATTGTCGGTTTTCTTGTTTTAATCTGACAGGTTAAAACGACTAAACCGACAATTCCGGAAGCAGAGGCGGATGATTAAAACGCACCTGATATTTTGCACGAGCGGATAAAGTTCGCACAGCGCCCAGTCGCCGCGCCATCTGGATATTTTTAAAATGGCGCTAAATTTGAATTAATGTGTAACTTCCATCATTTATTTTTACTACATTATTCTTATATGTATGTATAAAATAAATGTTTATCACACGGAAATAATGTTTATTTACTAAAATATACATTATATGTATATTATTCAAAATACTGATTGTAATTTCAATAAATCTGATAAATTAACTGAAGACTACCTCATCTTGATGACAGTTTTTCAATAGAATAAGAACCTATTTTATATTTATACACAAATATAAGTAAAAAAAAGTTTGCAAAAAAATGTTGATTGAATAAAATTGATATGTAAATATAAAATCTGAATGTAAAAATGTACTTTTGAAAACAATTATTAAAATAAATAAACCTGAATTATACACATCTTTTTATTTCAAATAGGATAATAGGAAATTATAATACAATAGTATAACAAAAAATAAAAATACAATAAAAAATGTAATAATGGTAAATATCTAAGAGTAAATAGGTAAAAAACAAACACATTGTATCTATGAAGTAACACATAGAAAAAACAATTCTTCTTAATTTTCTTGAGTAAGTGTATGTTTTAATAAGTGTGATCATACTGATCATGGCAGGGATCACTAGTAGTATAAACAATTTTTTCATTATTTAGAATTTTTTCAATAATTTCCGTTTCCACTAAGTCTGGTTTCTTTGTGACTATTAGCTGACTAGTACACGATATGTTGATTTTACAATTTCCTTGGGTTTTAATTGCTCTCTTTCTACTTGCTAATGAAAGTTTCTTACTTAGACCACTTCTATTACAGTTGTAATATTTTTTCTCGTAAGAAACGGTGTCTATTTTTATAAATTTAGCTCCATGTGATTGAGTAAACTGTGCATTTTCCGTTTTAACCAAGTTGGAGAAAAAGGTTTTAAATTCGTTTTCGGAACTAAATGTTAGCTCTTCACGTAGCATCTCGAAATTATGTTTAATTTCTAAATGATTTCTCAAGTCATCGACAAATTTAAATGATATTTGACAACCTTCCAAACACTTGCTAATGAAAGAATCGTAGGAGTAAGCTAAAATATCTTTTTCCTGGATTTTGTGCACTAAAAGTTTATGTCTATTCAGGTTTTGTTGCCTGTTAAATATTTTTTCACATATATCACACATGACCGCCATTTCTATTAAATAAAAATTTCAATATCGAAAAATTACAGTTAGAAATATTCAATTCGCTCGATAAAACACGTTAAAAATAACTTACAAAACGCAATGTCAAAAAGTACGGTTAATTTTTCGAAACTGACATTGACATTATTAGTATCTAAATTTACTATAGGTGGCGCGACGACTGGGCGGAGTGCGAACTTTATCACCTCGTTATTTTGTAAAAGAAAATGATAGGTGTACGTGTGGAAAACTGGAGGATTTACAACATATTTTTTTTAATTGTCAAAATAATTTTTATAATATTTATACATTTTTAGATAGTTTAGATATTCCAAAAAATTTTATAAAACCTGTTACACTTTTTGATGTATTGTTTAAACTTCTGTCTTTCGGTAATGTTAAAAAAATATCAAAATTTATACAAATGTCTAAAATTAAGCTGTAAAATATTGTAATTATTTACCTGTTGTTACCAAATGGCTGTATCATCTTAGCTATGTAGGCCAATAAATTATAAAAAAAAAAAAAAAAATAAAGGTATTCTTTGGTGTCAGTGAATATTATTTTTGAAGTCACAGTTTATTGCTAAAGAATCAGTTAGCTCACTCAGACCAGTTGAAAGTTCCAAAATAACATCCACTCCAGGGATACAAATTCAGGATACGCAGAAGACTGCTTTTTTATTATAGGCGGTTGTCATATATTGTATTATCCGAGTTGCACAGTGTATAAACTGAAACATTGAGATCCAAAGTGCCGACGCAGAGTGAGCGATCTGATTCTTTAGCTGTAAACTGTGTCACAGGGTTCAAAATGGCGGCGCCCTATGTTGGGCGTGTCGGACCTCTCTCTTGCCTCGTATAGTAATCAAAGTGTGTGACACAAATGCTATAAAAGACCCATCTTAATATTTAACCCACCCTTTTTTGATTGTTTTATTTTCCTTGACCCATGACATCATTAAAAGGACAAATTATCTTAATCCAGTTCTGATTCTTAGCTCTGCTGTTCCAAAGATAAAGTTACAATTTTTAGATCAACACAAATCACTCATTGATATATTCTTCATATTTAATTTTTTTCAGGACTATTGATATTGTCTTTCAGAATGGCCAATGGGTATTGAGTCATTTATTACAGTCACGTAAAAGGATACATTTCAAATTACGTTCTGAACTGTCAATAAAAAGACACCATTCGTCTGTTGTGTATTTTAACAAACCCAGTTTTTTCTAAAAAAAAAACAGGTCATTTTCCTGAGGGAAAAATGCAGCACACCCTTATATTTTACGATGCAACATTAATATCTGAATAAAGTAAATGATTTTCATTTGGTTTGGAGGCAAGTAATTTGGAAGACTCCTTTGAAAGGTTCAGGATTCGGTCCTTGTTAATCTCAAAAACTAGAGCAGCTGCGAATCAAAAATATTTCAATTTAGTTCTGACTCTTCCGGCACCAAGACAATGATGGCCATTTGTCGATAGGTTACATTAGAGAAGAATAATCTACCTGTAAAATTTATCGAGGTACTAATCTAAAAAGACAAATAGAATTGAATAGACCAAAACGTATTTATTGTTGAAAGTTTAGATGAATGTGAAGTTCTATATAAATAAAAAAATAACCTAGATTCGTAAATAATCACACCTTAATGAAGAGATCCATCACTAGTTTGAAAAATAAATCCAAAAGTCGCAGGAGGCACTGATGTTTTCAAAATTTGACAGTGACAGCATATTAAAACCACAAATTCATAAGATCCATTATCAAAATTACAGTAATTAATAAAAAAATATCGAACTCTTAAACAAAAATGTGCTCTCCGTCTGGTCCTTGCTCTCCCTTAGCACCTCCTTGTGGACCAGTTTGTTCGACGCCATCTCCTGTAAACCCATGTCCTGTTTGCCCAGCTTGCGTCAAAAATACTGATATGAGTGAATGTATGCAAAAAGAAGCCATAGATTGTGCCCAATGCGCTTTGGCCATGTACCAACACGAGAAAGATGTAGCAACTTATATCAAAAAAGAGTTTGACAAAAGATACTGCCCTAGCTGGCATTGTTTCGTTGGAAAAAACTTTGGAACTTACATTTCACATGAGACTACAACGTTTATATATTTTTACATTGGACAGAATGCTTTTATTTTGTTTAAAAGTGGTTAAAATTAGGTAAGTCTCTTTTGGGTAACGTTCGAAGTTAGTGCAACCTTCAAAAATGTTAGTTTACTTCTAATAAATCATCGACCAATATAAGTACGTGTAAATTCATTAATACATTCCTAGCTCTTGCACGGATTTCCTGGTTATCTTTTTCTATTTCATTTTTTTCTTTGATTTTCCATTTAATTTGGTAGTTTTCTATATTTGTTTTGATCCCGTATCCCGATATTCTAAGCATTTTCGTAAGCTTTCTATTTAATCAGTTTTTAATTCGCTGGTTATCCTTCACGCCCTTTTATTTACATTCTTTTATCTTTCTAATGTTTATGTTGTCTTCCTAGAAGTATTTATATTTCTTTTCATTCTTAACACATTAATATACAAGATCACAGATGTAAGAATATTTCTTTATTGAAGAGAAGCATAGATACTTCGAAGAGATATATTATGCAGGATACAAGCTATGGAAAATGATATTTTTACAAACTTAATAATAACTTCATATATGTATTTTACGAAAGATCTTACCAAAAGAGCTCTATATTATAAAAAAAAGGAATTTAGCCTGAGAAAACGATACACCGGAATAGAAAGAAGGTGTTAATAATAACATTTTGTTGAGATTTTGTCGATTTTCAAGATAATAAATATTCTGTTCATTAGATTTTTAAGTGTACTGCTTTTTTCTCCTCTGTATTAATTTGCCTGTCGGTACTTACCATATAAAACTTCTGTTTCGTCCATTCCATGTACAATTTTTTCCTGGTATAGGGAGGATAGAGAATGTAATTATCCAGGGAAAAAAATGCAGTTACATCAATAAAAACCTAACAAACATTTGTAAGAACGTTTAGACTGACTAATTTGAAGTTCACGTCATTGGACAGTTCACTATCTCAAGCTCTAATAAAGTTTATCAGGCTCATTTAATGAACCTTCTTGCATCTTGTCAGTTATGCTCATTTAAATGTTTATCAAGAACAAGGTTTTTTAAACTATCAAATTAACGTTTTTGATTTTTTTTAGAATCAAATATGTAGTGTAAGAATGGGGTCCATTTGGACAGTATACTGGCAGTGGCGTCACATATTTGGCTGTATTACTAGTAGGCATTTTACGTACTGATTTGAAACACTGTATCTTAAAATAAAAATTTTTGAAAGTTTTTTGTTTTCTTTGTACTTTATTATTTAGAATAATGTATATTAAATAAAAATAGAGGGTTTCAAAAAAAAAGAAGACGATTATTAGAGATAAATCCAACAATTAACAAAAATTTCGTATGTGATCAATTAAAACAAAGAAATGCTTTATTGTGTAAAAAATTAGATTATTATTCACAAGCTATGAACAATAGTAAAAAAGACAGTACAGGAATAAAAACAGTAAAAATATAAATAAAAAAGTATAAAACAGAGTAAAAATGCAATAAAATAATTGAAAAAAAACACGTACTATACAGTGAATTTCAATGAAAACTATCCACTCTAAATCATTTCAAAGGGGTTTAATGAAAAAATACGAAACTATATGTGCTACACTGCCTGCCAAAATTATTAGATCACCTAAAAAATTCAAAACAAAATTTGTGTAGCTAAATTTTTGCAAGTGAATCCACTTTTTTTATTAATGTGTAAACATGTTTTTTATCTTAACTATATTTCGAGTTCCATATCGCAGTTTGTTTATGTGTAATACAAAATTATCAGTTTGGATACTTTTCAGGTCAGTATAAATTTTAACTTAAATGGTTAAACATTGATTTTGTTTTCATTATTTTTCCTTCGAACTTGAAAATGAATGTGCATGCTTGGGTTAGACACTTATTATCACTAGAAAATTGTGTTAGGGCGGTAACATTAATGCAGGAAGGTCGTAGTCAGCGATATATCGCAGAAAGGCTTGGTGTGACCCAATCTGCAGTTTCGTATGTTTTAAGAAGATATAGAGAAAATGGGGATCATCAAAGAAGACCAGGTCAGGGTCGTAGACGTGTCACCAATGCCACCCAGGATCGCTATATGGTCCAACAAATCCTTCGAAACCATACAATAACAGCTCCTGAGCTGCAAAATGTGGTTAGAAGGACCTATGGAATACAAGCAAGCTTAAATACCATAAGAAGACGCCTAAGGGAACGGAACCTAACCCCCCTAGAAGACCGCGCTTGACCGCAGAGCATCGGAGGAACCGACTTCAATTTGCGAGAATGCACGTTAATTGGAAACCGCCTGATTGGAGTCGAGTTTTGTTTTCTGACGAGACAAGATTTTCCGTCCCATTCAGATAGATGAATACGAGTTTACCGACGACGAGAACGGTACGCACAGTGCAACTTCGTTGAAAACATTTGTCATAGTGGTGGCAGTGTTATGTTTTGGGGAGGCATCTCTTTGGGAGGACGTACGGATCTAGCGGCGCTTCGGAAGGGCAATGTTAATGCTGCCCGGTACATCGCTGACATTCTTGAACCTCACGTGGTGCCATATGCTGAAAAATTTAGTGCCGATTTTATTTTCATGCAGGACAATGCACGGCCGCACACAGCTCGGGTGACACAAAAGTTTCTTCGTAATTAAAATATTCGAGACTATGAACTGGCCAGCTTAAACCCCATCGAGCATCTATGGGACATGAAAGATATGCGCTTTAGAGCACTTCCGTATCCTCCGGCCGACCTTGACAGGCTCACTGTAGCCATTTCTGAGATTTGGAACGACATCGATTAAGCCGACATAAGGACGCTTATTTTAAGCATGAGGGAACGGTGTGAAGCTGTCATTCAAGCGAAGGGTGGAAACACTCGATATCGACTTTTTTTCATAAAATTTATTTTTTGGGATATTTGCTAATTTTTAAAAGGAGGTTTATTTTGTTATTTTTATAATATATAATAAATCTTATTTCAAATTTTACTCGAAATTATTGGGTGATCTAATAATTTTGGCAGGCAGTGTATTTTGAGCTTTATTACAGGCACTTAACTGAAATAAACCATTTCTGTTAATAAATTGAAATTTTTGGAATCGAATAATAGAATTGCAATAATATAGAGGGTGTTCAAATAAAAAAAAAAAAAATGAAAAGAAAAGACATGGCCGTGGGTAGGAAGAAAGTAACAATGAGTGTGCATGAGCATGTAATTTTTTACTTATTTTAATATTTTTTCATAAACGTCTCACCAGTGCCGGCTTGTCTGTAAGGGCTGTAGAGCTACAGGGGGGAACTAATTTACATAAATACAAAATCAAAATGTATTATGTTATCTATCCACACTGTTTAATAAAATAGTATATTACATTACGAGTGTGGAAAATCACTTTTCACACAAGTGATAATAATTTTATCAAAAAATGTAAAACCAGGTTATTATTATAATAATTTAAATGTGTTTAAAAAAATAATCAACAATAATCGTATTTATTCAATTTTCATATTTTCTAAACAAAAAAAAAACAATAAAAAAAAATTTAAAAATAATTCTGCCCCCGCAAGGATTTAAACGCGGTCGCTCGCTAGGTCTCAAATGGCAAAGTTGATAAAGTTTAATGCTCTAACCATCTGAGCTAATAGGCCTTGTGTCAATTGAAGGATCTAATCGGTTATGTGTTTAACCAGAATAAAAAGCAAACATAAGTTAGTTATTTTAAAATTATTTTAATAATAATTGTTAAAGATAAATATTTAGGATCTAATTTACAATAATCTCAATAATTTAACAATCATATCGATTTTAGTATTAATATGGTCTTTACATAAATCAAAATAGAAATGACGCGTTTGCCATTTTGTGACAGCTGATGCGGAAAGTAGCATATTCCTACACGGATGGAAAGTAAATTCTTATTCATACGCGTGTGATATACGGCACTTTCCATAGGACTATATAGTGTGATATGTGTCACTTTCCTAAGTGGTCGTAGGAAAAAATATTATATTTCACGTCTATTTATAACTTGCATGTGGCACCTTTATTTTACTTGTTCCAATCATAATCTGGCAGTTCGTTCCTTACGTTAAACATATTTTACCTTAGCTAATTTTGTTGGCTGGCCTTCAGTTCACGTATTTGAACTGTCAGATCGGAGAACGTCGTTCGCGCTCGTTTTCAGATATAAAATTTTTATATGCAAGAGGGCTATGAAAATTTTCGCATGTAGGCAGTGTATAGTGTAGACTATGAGTATGTTTATTGTCAGATAGAAAGCACGATGGCCGCTTGTAGACACACAAACTTATTTATCATCATTATTTTACACGTAACAGTCGTTATTTGTTGTGTAATTTTAAACAATATAAAGTTATTTGAAAGACTAGTTTTGTGTTAGTTATTTTTATTGAATTTTCCTTATTAAAGTTGTTATCTTGTTGGTAAAAATATTGTTTTAAAAACATACCTACCGCTCGTTATGTAGTAATGAGTGCAATCCGTGGAGATGGCGATGTTGTTAATTTTTTTTAAATTTCCTATACAGTGAACTGCATTTTGTGCATACAAAAGACATAAAAACAAAGTTTCAAATTTTTCAATGTAATTGCATAATAAAAAGAAGTGAATATGTGGTTTAACGAATTAAACAAGTGTTTTAGTGAATTAGAATTAGAAGATAAATGTGAAACCACTATTACTTACACGTAACATCGATAATTTTAACGAAAAAGTACTAGAATACAAAACGCAAGTACATAGGTTAGGATAAATAAAGTGCTAAATTATTAAATTATAAAAATACTACCAAAATATATTAAACGCGAGGGACGAACTATCAGATTATGATTGGATCACCTAAAGTACTTTGGTAAGTTTTGATAAATGTTATATATCTTAAGCGCCTTATTTCAAAAGTAGTGCCCCATAGAGAAAGCTACGAGCCGCCTCTGATTCTCATCTTTAAAATTATTTTGGGTGGATAGTATTCATTGAAATTCCCTGTATATCAAATTTGTGTGAGGACTAAGGTTAAGTCTCTGAGGTACTATTAAACCTCACACCTTTACAAGTAGAAACCTGGTCCACCCAATTACATAAAGTTGACCATACGAGGCTATATCAACAAGTAAAAATGGATAAGATTCCAGGAATGCCTACTGATACAGCCATAACCACATACAAATTTGAATTTATATTCAAATACCGGTCTGAGAATCCTAAAAACAGGGACAGGATGAACCAGGTGCGAATCGTGACCAAAATTTTGGGGGTTTACAGCAGCAGAATATAGATCTCGGCACAGATGTAGATAAAAAACTGTTAGTTTTTTAGAAAGGTATATTGTAAACTTTCTAAAACACTGAAAGTTTTTTGATACATCTGTACTGATATCTATATTCTGTCACTGTGAACCCCCAAAATTTTGGTCACGAGCCGCCACTGGGATGAACTAGCAAGGCCTCAGATATCCACCATTGTGGGATTACTAACGGGACTCTGCTTGCTGAAACACCTTCATATGATGGGATTACACAATGGTCCTACTCCGTGTAGACTCTGCATGGAAGAGTAAGAAACCTCTTCCATGTGATTTTCGAATACGAAGCTATTAATAGGCGACGTTTCATCCTTTTCGGTCTAGAACCGGTAAGAACGCCCAGAAACACTTGGTAGGGAGCTTATTAAAACTAACCAAAGACACAGGACTATTCCAAAGATAGTACCTGAATACGGGGAAAGTAGGGGAATACAATAGACCCAAGAGGCCGCAGTATTCTGGGCCAAACTAACCCTACCTGTTTACAACCGACAAAGATAAAGATAAACTGACAAAGCTCTAGGTATTTCATAAGTCTCTGTAGGTTTTATCACTGACTTATGCTATTTACCAGTGAAATTTGGGATCTTCTTGTTCTTGTAAGTCGGTTTTTTAACGTCCATATTCCTATAAGAAAGTAGTAAACTAAGGACGCAATTTCTATTTTCTGTGTACCAATGGCTGTGCAATTCTACAATGAGAGCTGGAGTACTGATCAGAATATTCAAAGTTTGAATATGAATAAATCTGTGAACTTTTTCTATATTCTTTGAACGAAATTCTTCCAATATAATTTAGTTTAAACTGATTAATTATCCCACTTGCAATCAAAATATCTGATGTGTCCAACATATGATTTTCCTGCAAAATTATCAAATATTATCTAGTCATTTTAGTGCCTCAGCAGCCATGCGTGG